CCCCCCCCCCCCCGCCCCCCCTCATGATATGTCGTGGAAACAGAGTGCGAGGTCTGAGCATTCCGGCACTGATACCGCGACCATCGAGGCTGCGACTCTCAAGGCTGGCCGTGGCTGGCCGTACCGGTAGCACCTCCGTTGTACGTGTTAGAACTCTTAGGAGCTTCACGAGAAAATGACTGAGAAGCTTCCTACAAAGGCTGGAATCCATGTCCTTGCTCGTATCTAGCCCTAGCCTTGGCTCACGGATGACAAAAGGCCCGTCTGCAAATCGAGTCTGCCAAGCGCTGCATCCTGAGACATGCCGGAGACGATCTCTGGCATGCATTCCTGGATCTGCTGCCAGGAATGGAAAAGATTCGAGACACCAAGCGGCAGACGGACATTGCTCGCAAGGACTGTGATGCTGGTGGGACTTGAAGTGAAGGATGCTGGATGATCTTTCGTCAGGAAAGGGAGCGGCGACAGCGTCGGGTGCAATACGAGCAAGCAGCCACTACAGTCCGCATCTTGGCAATTTGTTATTCCACAGGTACAGTTTGAACGAACATGAGCTCAGGCGGCTGTTGAAGCCAAGAAGAAGCACGAGACCCAGCAACTTTCGCGGTTTGGCAGATCGTTTATCTCATCTATGGGCTTTGTGTGCGCGGCCGGAAGGTGAATTGGAGATGTCGAATGAAAGCCTTTTCACATGTTTTGCAATTGAATAAATGCCAAGTGATTTATTCGTTCTACGTAGAAGGTCTTCAACAAAGGAAGTCGTACAGGTGTATTGAGGCCAACAAAAACAAGGAAACGGTTCCACTCCCAGGAAAAATACATGTCGAGGGAGATATGACATGCCATCTCCTCTCCTTTCTGCAGAGTAGCAAAAGAAGAAGCAACATGTCGAGCTTTGGGAAGATCAAGGCGCTGGAAGCACAGGCCTCTAAGATGCGGCTCTGACAGAAACACATGTTACCCAGGGAAGAAGACCTGCTGACTTGGCTCCTGGCAGAGACAGCCCAGTGACACCAAGTGACATTGTGGAATGCTAGCAGGCCCACGAGCTGCCAGGTACCGGCAGGAAGCCTTTGAGTACGACTTCAAGCTACGTCGCAAGCAGGTGCCATGCTTCTCCTGGATGATGGCCTTCCACGTATTGAGTTAGCAAGGCGCAATGGGAGCAGAGAGAAGCCAAGCAGCTGGCGTACGCGCAACAAGCAGCGAAAGAGCAGGAGGAGGTGCCTGCACGAATTTGAAGGTTAGCCTCCTAAAAGATGTTCTGAGCTCCAGAGGCATGGAATAGGATGGCCGACAAGGCGCGTGAGGAGCGCGCCATCAAGCTAAGGCAGAGGGGTTGTGAAAGCCAGTCTGCAGTGTCGTATTTAGCAGATACTCGCAGGCCTAGCATGCAATCTAGGACGTTTGACCTCAGTCATGTCGTTCAAGGGCGGCACGCAATCTACAGGTGTGATAAGCGTGTTATCGTTAGCGCCAGCGGGTGCCCACCTTGAGTTGCCAAGTGCCGCGATTATTCCGAGAGAGGATCTTGCGATGGTGAACGGCTTGTGATCTATCAGCTGATCAGACCGGGACATGGAAGTGGGAAAGCAGGGGGGGCCACTGCATGCGAACCGGAGTGAGGATGTTCCAAAACCTGTTCAGCCCATGTACGAATACATGGCAGAAATGGGATAGAGTATGGCCCCCAACCCGGCGCGCAAATTAGCCGACTCGCTAAGGAAGCGGACCATCAGCTTGATTTTAACGATTTGTGCTGGCCTGTGCTTCGAAGGCTCTGCAGCAAAGTCAATGGATCCAAATCTGCTCTAAACTCTAGGGCTACATCAGGAGCAGCTGCTGGGATTAGAACAACTTTTGCACGTAGTGTGGATGTTTGCTCAACTCAACCTCATTGGACTTTTGAGGGCTCCGGTGCAAGTGACAAAAGCTAATTTCCGCATTCTTCATACAGCATGCCTTCTGTTTCCATGCCACGCCGTGAGGCACCGCTCCAATTTCGTGGAAGAAGCTGCGCCCGAAGTACATCACTCAACTCCAGCACTGCTTTCTTTGGCATGCCTCATGGGTCCTGGGTGCAAGGAGGTCTCTTCGGACGACGCTGCGCTGCTTCCTCAGTCAAAGTCATGTCCATTCCTGGCGTGATTCAAATTGTTTCGAGGCCTGTGGAGCGCCACGGGAGCGCCGCTGAGAAAAAGAGGTGCTCGCTGTGCCGGTGACATTTGATGTCGTGTGTGCTGGGTACGCATGACAGGTCAGAGCGCTTTATGAGCGAGTGCTTGTCAGCTTGGCTCTTATTGACTTCACGGCCCAGTGTGGCTGTGCGCATGTGCTGGTAAGTGAGGCAAAAGACTCAGAGGCTGCTTCAGCAAGGATCTGAGCTTTTCTCTTCAGAGAAGTTTCGATGGTCCACCTAAAGCAGGCAGCATGGCAAGACGTACAGGTCGCTATAGGGGTGTCAGCAAGAGGCAATTGGCTTGCGAGATATGCGGCTTAGCCTGCAGCCCTGTGGCTTGCAGCTCCCCCCGTGCACCCGACACCCCTTTCCATTTCAGGGCGTTGGGCTTAGGGTTTTTGGGTCAACGGTGTTGTTTAGGGTGGCGGGTGCAGGGTCTAGGATTTAGGAAGACCGGAGGAAGCCGCAAGGAGGGTAAGGAAGGAAGGACGGGGGGACGGACCGCAGTCAAGGCGGACGGGCTGGAAAGCAGGAAGGAGGAAAGGAAGCAAGCAAGCAATCAAGGAAATCAGGTGGACAAGTTGTTTCCTGGTCCGCTGGTCCCGGCCCCCTGCAACCCTAAAAGAGAAACTTGATGGAAACCTTAAGCGTGAAAAGGAGATATTGGAAGGCCAACCCGAAATCCCAACAAAGATGTTGGGGAGATGTTGGCCAGCAAGCCCTAAATCCTATATAGAAGAAGGACCTGAACCTTGAGAAAACATGCTGGCTAGCAAACTCTGAGCCCCAAAGCGAGATGTTCGCTCGCAAGTCCTAACCCAAACGGAGATGTTACCTGGCAAGCCCTCAGCCCTCATTGAGCACCTTCTGTAGTAGGGCCTGGCTGGATTGGGTCTAGAAGGATTAATTCTTGAGGCATCAGCACAGCATATTCGCAGCTCTCTGTTCAGGACTGGTGTGCAGGGCGAAAACCTTCATGTTGATAAACTCCATTTTGGGAAAAGAAAAGCGCCCGACTTTCACATGCACTGATTGCAGTGCACTCATGCAAGCTTCAAAAGCTGTGTTGCGGAAAACTGTGTTGCTCTAATCTGCCAGCTCAGGGGCCTG